ATAATCATGACATGAAACATGTCATGAATATGAAGGGTTTTTATGCATGTTTATGACAACTATCATTGTGTCATTCGCTCAGTTCTGTAATTTTTAATGCAAATATGACATTATTTGACCTAACCCTACCCCTACCCCATAACAAAGACATCTCAAACAATGTAATCTTTGCATTAAAAATTACATAACTGAGCGAATGACACTTAACGACAGTTGTCATAAACATGCATAAAAACCCTTCATATTCATGACATGTGTCATGTCATGATTATGTAGGTGTCATGTCATGATTATGCGTGGCTGACTCTGAACTTATATAAAGAATATCTCTTTGGATTTGAGACTAGTCTTTGCAACTTTACAGATCTTCTTTAAACACCAAGAGCTTGTAACACTCCAAAGAGAAAGGAAAAATTGAAATCGCATCATATGACCCCTTTAAGTAATAAATGGAAAGCAAGTTAAATTGAAAAATTAGTATTTTCTTGCTGATCCGAAAAATGTGTAATGTGATGTGATGTGATGTACCGTAATGTGATCCGAACCGTGAGATTTGTGATCCGTTGAAGTTGAACCAATAGTTGCTAGGGTGTGGTTTTTACAGCATTGCTATATGGTTGCTTTACGGAGAGTATGAAAACAATTTGAGCAATTTGTAAACAAATCAAAACAATCTGTTAACAAATAATCAATTGAATTCATGAATTCAATGATTATTCCTCATATTACATATTGCATGACTACCTGGACACAAACATGTATAGGTCTTTTCTTAAACCAGTTGAAATTATTTATAAACAAACTCTTAAGGTCTTGGATAAAAAACCAAGCAGTTTTCACCATTGTAGCATATTAACTAAGTTTTATATTTTAAGATTAAGATAGAATTTATTCAGTTTGCTGATTTGGTACTTATTTTTAAGATCTTAAATGGTTTTGCTCCACCTGTTTTTAAGGATTACATAGATCAGATAACAGGATGGTGTACACGTGCTGGTATTAGAGGTGATTGTAACGTGACATTTAGAAAAACTAGCTTTGTTCAATTATCCTTTGCTTTTAGAGGAACACATGAGTGGAATAGACTCCCAGTAGAGTTGAAAGAATTAAAACAGTAAACAGGACACCGTGGTTTCTCAAAAAAGCTGAAAATATGGTTATTGACCCATCAAAATTGTGATCATTTATAGTGATTTATGGATATGGTATGGTAGTCTGTAATTTTGTGTTTCCATAGTCTTAGTTTATTTTTTCTTCTGCTTTACTATTTTCTCCTTGTTCTTAATTTGGTGTACTAATATTCTTTGTTTACATTTTCTCCCTGTCCTTAACATCAACCTGCCAAAAGGGACTACTAGCCAGAGTTGGCTAAATCTGGCGCATTTTACATATTTATGTACTATTAATGTGCATTGAAACAAAAAACACAGGGAAATTTCTCAAAACTAGCCTATGTTCCACAGAAGAAAGAAAGGTTTGGACTGACATGAGGGTGTGTAAATCATGACAGAATTGTAATTTTTTGGTGAACTATCCCTTTAAAACACAACTTCTAGTTGATGTGTACGTAGTTCTGCACACCCTGAAAAATAAAGTTTGCTCTGTGTTTTTCATGCAGGGGAAAAGGACACCACGTCTGCTAGAAGCAAAGAAAGAAGAAGAAACAAATGCTTCTTAAATATTTTGTGTGATGGCTATAGGCAAGAAACTGTATTTTGGGACACACGCTCATTTCCATTGCTGAGAGCAACACAAGCGTCAGTCTGTCCAGGTTACATTTAAGGGAGCTTACAAAGCTCTGATGGAGAGTTTTTGATGTATAGCAATGCATTTTGAGGGTGTCAAGTGGAAATACAGCAAATTGGCTTTCCAAAAATTGGTCATTGGATGTCTACGCCAAAGTGTATTGGAGCATTTCAACTTTTGGTTGCGTGAAGTACAACTTTCATAAACCCTTGTGCTTTCTCTTCTATGTCCTTGCAACCTACCTTCAAGAACATTGTGCTTTCAAACGTACCAACTGCACATTCCTCAGCCGAATCAAACCAGTCAAGAATACAGTGAGCCGAGTATGCGTGAAAAACAACTGCTAGTGATAAAGATATTTTTTGTCTCTTCATTTTTTATCTCACCTCTTGATGTCTCTGATATTTCCTTCTTCAAAGCTGTAAAGCTCTACTATGCCCTAGGGTTAATTAACATGTACCAAACACTGAATGATCAGAGAGAATCCAAAAGCTCCACAGGTTAAGTGTCACATGGGAAACGTGTTGTCAGCCATGGATTCCTCCCGCCCAACCCCCTTGTTCTTTTCAAAGAGTTGTGATAGAGCAAGTAGTGATGAATTTACAGATACTTTTAAAAAAAAACTTTGCAGTCACTGTGCCAGACCAAAAAAAAGAGAGAAATTTGGTATTTTTAATTCACATTTTCTTGCCCCACTAACTTGCTGAGTAGAGGACACAGTAATTTATTTTTTAAGTTTATGATTAGTAGTAGTATATATTACAAACAATTTCTATTTTAAATAAATGCTATAATTTTGAACTTTTTTTTTCATCAAGGAATCCTGAAAAAAGCAATCACAATTTCACAATATTACTCTCATAATATATTCACTGTTTTCAACAATAATAATAAATGTTTCTTGAGCTACAGATTAGCAGCATATTAGAATGATTTCTGAAGGATCATGTGACACTGAAGACTGAAGTAATGCTGCTGAAAATTCAGCTTTGCATCACAGGAATAAATTACATTTTAAAATATATTTGGATACAAAAGTTATTTTAAATTGCAATAATATATTTGATCAAATTAATGAAGCCTTGGTGAGCATAAAAGGCTACTCTCAAAAACATTAAAAGACACCAAATTTTGATCAGTAGTGTATACACGTTTTACATTTTCTGAAGAAAGTGAGTGATGCAAAGGTTGCTGTCATGCAATTGTTGTCATATTAGCATTGCTGTGCAGTTAGTTCTGACCTTTTTTTAGTGTGTCTGAGCTTTTTAGTCTCTCCTCCTTCAATAAAAGTGTTGCTGATTTTAGCAAAAGCATGTCATATTAGCTAGCTACATATTCAACACCCCTCACTTCTGACACAGCAAATTATTTGACAGCCAGCCACAGGTCACAACGGTGCTATAGAGGCACTAAACCAATGACTTGATGGCTACTTTCACACAGCAGCAGAACACGGTTGTCAATCCAGTTTGGAGCTAAATTTGGTAGCATTCACACACAATTAAATTAGAATCCAGAGTGACAACCGAATTCTACTGAACTGACTCCCTACATTTTTTAGGAAAGAGAGCATGTGTAGTACATAAAATATATTCTTTAAAAAATTAAACAAACTAGACAAAATCATCGAGTCTTGAAGTAAGCGAGTATATTGCGTTCTTTATTTTGCATCCTGTAAAGAACTCCAGGAGATCAACAGCGATAAGGAGATCCTCAGGATTGTGTGTTATACAGGCAAAAATGAAACGTTTCTTCAGTGGACTAATTAATAGCAGTCTTCTTCTCTCTCACTGGGTTGCTGCTGACATTTGGTTCATGCTTGAGTGGATGTGGGGCCGACTTCCATCTTTTGCACGACAGGACTGCAGTGTGTGTGTGTGTGGGAATGGCTAAAGCAGTCTAGCGCATGGCCTCACAAGGACACTGGCGAAGGCCAGTCTTCAGGAGACGGGATTAAGGTAGCGTGACAATCGTGTATTAAAAGCACTTTGGCCCAATCTGACTGCATTCACAGGTTAGAGGTTCAATGGCAGATGGTAAAATTCACACATGCAGGAACACAAGGAGACTTTCGACAATGAAAGTAGGAGGTCGTGTTCCTTCAAAATGTCATTGGGTTTTGGTTATTATATCTCTGGACAGCAGGGGTTTGTCCTTAATTTTTTCTTTATAAAATTAAATATATATTAAATAATAAAAAATATAATTTATAAATGTATTTTATTAAACATATTTGAGGATAATACCATTATTTAGTTTTTTTTTTTTTTTTAAATATAATACCTTCTAAAATTATTTGATCTTTTTTAATACAAAGATTCAGAGCACCATTTAGCACAGCATAAATGTTATGCAAAGCATGATTGGTTAAACTAATAGGATGCCATATCTTACGCAGAATGACCTGTGAGATTTTGTGAAATTTGCACAAGGTATAATGGATGTCCTTTTTCTACCAGTATTGTCTGTTTAAAAAAAATTCTCAATATCAAGACACATTTTAAAGGATTGAACAAACAAAAATCACTGCGGCCATCTTTTCTAGTTAAACTCTGACTCTAGAAGCAAATGTGTATTCCAGCCTCCCCTCATTAACCCTGAATCACTCAGGAACAGTGTCTGTTTTATAGCGAAGCAGCTCGCATTAATATGCAACCTCCCGTAATGTTTGCCTTTACTAGTTCTCAAGAAGTTGCGATTACAAATATCTTGTCGGTACACACCACGCTTGGAGTCGCTGGCTTGTGCAAACAAGCCGGAGAGTCGTGACAGCTGAACAGATGATTAGAGCCACTTCACCCACAATCATGATTAGCGCCGCTGGCTTTACGCCACCTTCCCACCTACCAACACTGACTGCACTGCACGACCAGCACACACCAAACTGAAAAAGAAACCAAGAATTTGTGTGCTAGACTGTAGTAAATCTTTCAAGTTATGTAGATGATCAGTTATTAATATATATATATATTTTTTTTTTTAGAAAACTGAATGACACACAAAGACCTGAGGAAGCATTGCTTTTGGGACAATCACAAATAAAAATGTTCAAGATGTAAAGTAAAAATGTTTTAAAAATCAATTTTAAAGTGCTTGCATGTGGCATTTCCTTACAAATGCAATATGGTATCCTGTGTATTTTGTTTTGAAAACAAAACATTTTAAATTATTGACTTATTTTAATATTATTTATAAACTATTATAATACTTGTTAATATTTTTAATTAGGTTGTATTGTTATATTTTTAAATACCTCTGTTTAAATATCTCTATAGACCTTTAATTTGTTTTGTTTTTACTTCAGTTTTAGTTTGAGTAATTTGAGTACTATAAATGAAACTTATTTTATTTCAGTTAATTTCACATTTTCGTTTAAGTTTTTAAATTTCATCTTAAGTTAATTTTTTTTATTTAATATTTGTATTTTATTTCAGCTTTATTACCATTTATTTGACGATAACAAGACTGTGACTCTAACATGTCAAGTGGTATAACTGTCCAGTAAAAAAGTAATGACACATTTTCTCTAAAATCCTTAAATATATACATATCTTTTTATGTTGCTGTCAAATATGATAATTTTAAGATACTTAATGACCATGCCAATCATGCAGGTCTACAGCTGTCTTTTCTGTAATGTTATTTTCTGTTTTCTTGTTTTCTTGTTTTCTTGTTTTTTTTGTCATATGACAACAAAATGGTTTCCTGGATGTTCGCTAAACCACACAGACTTGGATTAAGCATACAAATGTTTTTTCAAAATATGTTTAAATTATGAAACACTTTAAATAAAAACTGGTTCCCTACTTATTTTACATGAAATATATATGTATATATATATATATTTTTTTTTTTTTTTTCGATCTTAGAATGGTTACATCACCTTAACATTTTGACATTAAACTGAATATATGTTGACTATAGAAAGGGTATATTTATTGTCTGTAAAAAAGGCCAATTTAAGGTACTCAAGAAACAGCATATCATTGAGTCTTTTGCAAAATTCAACCAGTCCATACAGCACTTACAGGCTTCTCTATTGTTTTGCAAACCTTTGGAAAAAAAGACTCTTTTCTCCAAGTCTTCAGTGTGCAGTAATGCTACTACAGAGCTGCTCGGGGCGTGAAAAGAGGCTGAGGCAGAGCGAGCTGGAGAAGGAGAGAGGATGAACCCAGGCTTTGCCACAGGGAGATCTCAAAGCGTCAGCGCACAGGGGAGAAAGACGGGGCTCCCTGTAGCAGCCCTCAAACAGACAGGCCTAAAGCAGTACATACTGCTGATCACACTCACTGAAGGAATCCAGCGATCCCGCCCTTTCTTTGTTCAGCACATCAAGACAAGTTAGTGTGTCAAGCCATTTTCTTTGGTTATATAGTAGTATAAAGTACTATATTTTGCTTTCACTGTGTTAGTTAATTGATTTAGTGCAGTGCTTCAATTAATAGATATGCAAACCATTTTGTGTAACACCAGCAAATACAGTTATTTTACAATATACACTATACATTTCCTTATGTGTCTACATTCTAAACCTAAGTAGGTATCCTTGCTGTATACTGCACACTATCATCTAAGGAAGCATAATAACCTAAATGGAAACTATAGCACTTGATTCATTTATTTATATTCATAGATTCTTCACTGTTTGCCATCCTGAATGTTCAGGTCAAAAAAGTGCCCATGAAACAAAATGGTGGTATCCAGGTCAAATAATTTCAGGGCCGCATTAGCCAGCCAAGCAACTGCCATTGAGGAAAATAAAAATGCGAACAGATAGCTATTTCCACATTGTAACTTACAAATGCATCCATGAGTAATTAATTAAAAGCAGCCAGCAACATTAAACAGAGACAGAAAGGTCGGCAGTGTTTTTCAGTGCTATTGTTTCAGCCTGTGCCGTAGTGACAGAATGACTTCCTCTGTTGTCTGAGTTTGAGCCTCATAAAAGGAAGCTGTCATGACAACACCAAAGGCACCAACCCCGTCTTCCCATCCAGAGAGAGCGTCTGCTGGAGACGGGCCACCTCTCAACACGTCAGTCCTTCAGCGGAGCCCGTCTGCCCAGAGGGTAGAGTACAGAGGCTGGGGTCGGTGTTTACCATACGCACTGCCGACTACAGCACTAATGAACCCACGGGACAGCCGAGACCTCCGAAACAAAAAATAATGAGAATTAAGGAAATATTAATCAAACTCTGGCGTTCTCAGACTGCTTGTGTTTTAGGTAGCTGGTGAGGATGCAGAGCAGCTCTTCTGGCGTAGCCTGTGGAAATACTGATTCCAGAGAACAAGTCAGCAGCAAGACTGCTAGCTGAAGGACACGGTATCACACATGCACACATACTGATATAAGCATTCACACTATGTCCCATTATGTCTAGGAAGTTCCCCAGTCTAGTCCATTATTAAATACCCAGCACTGCACAAGTAGTCAGGCAGGCCATGGGCATCAATATAGACGACAAGAGGGGACGAAATCTGTATTACACAGCTGTTTATTCATGAGGACCGCTGTCTACTACTGTCTGAACAGCTGTGCACTCTTAAGGGGCATTCGCACAGCAAACTATAGCGACAAATCAACCGGGTGTTGTTCATTTTCATTGGCTACTCACAGAATAGCATACTAGCATACTGCTCTCACAGTATATAGTAGTATATTTAAAGTTTTCTAAATGCAGTAGATAATTGAGGCAGGATCTACATTTGCCAAAATAAGCAGTATACAAGAGATCTTGCTGCAGTGAATAACGTTTCCCACAATTCAATGCACTTGACTCGACCTGAACTTAACTGAAAGCAATGTCTGCTGCCACAATTTTTAACATGCCTTACGCAAGTCTGTTTTTTTTAACAGTAGTCAGTATACAGCATAAACTGCGATAAGTCCATAAGTCGTTAAGCTAGTTTTTCATTCTGTATATTTCCAACAATATATTTTTTTAATATGGGTATAATATGGGAATATTTTGAAGACCACTTCATTTTTAATGAGTACACTAGTGTGAGTACAGTGTGTTACAGTCCATACAGTGGACTATTTAGTTTGTCCAGAAGATGGCAACACTTTCACGTTCAAAAAAGACAACAAAAACAAATTAGAGACTGCAACAAAAAGCTCTTGTTTGAGGCGAATTAAGCATTACCTGCAACTCCTATTTAAAGCAACTGTATGCAAGTTTTTTACCTTGAAATATAATTTTGATGGTAATCTGACTTCTAACAAGGAGAATGGTCCCCCTAAAGCTTTTTTTGGGGGGAGTATGTAAGTTTGGTGAACGGGTATGAAATTCCACAATTGCTATTCAGCAGCAAAAAATGCATGTGTACAGCTATCCACTATAATTATGACAGTGACATATTTACGACAATACAATACAATACCACTCACTTAACTGTACAGGCTCCAAAGTTGCAAAAATGCACAAACTTTGGCTAAAGTAAAATCTTTGGCAAAAATTATGAACAAATGTTTATCCATTGTTTATAACATTGACAGAATGTTCGCTCAAAGTTATCTGAGCTACATTTCTCAAAAACCTCATAAGCTTAGTTGATTGTAGAAACCATTTGTGGCAACGGTTCTACGATCTACTTAGGGTTATGATGCTTTTGGAAAATGACATACATCTACAAGATGTCTGTTAAAGATCGTTTCATCTAGAAAGCATCTGCTGAAACATCCGATAGACGTCTCTAAGATGTCAGTTTTACATTCATTCTAAATCATAAACATCTTAAAAACATCTTCTAAACGTCTATTTGACATCTGATAGGAATCGTCCTATAGACGTATTGCAGATGAGCAAACACTCTTAAAAATAGCCTATGTCTTGCAGACGTCAAATAGACATCTCTGTGATGTACTTTGAACGGATACGTGTTCAGCTGTAAGAAAACGCTAAGAGTGTGCGTCAAAACATAAGTATTTTAAAGGAGTCATATGATGCTGCTAAAAATAACATTATTTTGTGTATTTGGTGTAATGAAATGTGTTTTGCATCATATGACGCCTTTAAAACGACGCGACCGAGGCTAAATTCACAATAGTATAGCACATTACTCTAACTAAACCTATAAAAGGTATGAATAAACATATGGCACAAATAGGCCTAAGCAACGACGCGAAGACAACATCACGTGATCCGTTTCATGGCGTGTGCATACAGAAGCAAAGTTCGAGCGATTTTACTGAGGCTTCTTTACTAAATCGCTGTTTGTGTGAAAGAAACGACGGAAACAGGCCAAACGAAAACAGGCCTACATATTTTCACTTTGAGATCCACAGACAAATCCCCTTCGCTGAACACTTAGATTACTGTAATCATATTTGAACACACTTGACCACTTGCCATTTGAAAATGCCAGTCATTTGCTCTTCCCATCCCGGCGTGTTTCCAGCAGTCTCGCCGTGTTGTTAGTGCTGTGCTCTCGCTTTGACATTCATAGGCTCCAGGTCTTATCTGAATGATTGAATGCCGGCGTTTGCCGAGCTAAATTGCATCGTTTCAATCCGGGAGAGAGTTCCCTCCGGATTCAGCGCGGGTCCCGGTGGGCCAGCCTTCGAGAAGAACAGCATGTTGTACATCCACATAAAACGGAAAAAATATGAGAGGTACTCTCCTCTTTATGACACAGAAATTAATCTGTCACTGGAGCTGCATGTAAATCTCAGGCCTGCTTTGCAAAATACTGTTTTAACCCCCTTTACTCTGTATTTTATCTTTTATTGGCAATAAACATAAAACAGCACAAAGGGGTAATGCCCTCATCAATATTATCACAAAACGATAATACATTTTAAGGCTTATAAACTTTAGAAGGAATTTTCGTCCTCGATTGAAACAGAAGTAGCTTACGATGCTTTCAAATGTATCCCTTATAAACCCAAAAAATGTATGAATAAATAGTTTTCATTTAGTATATTTCACAAACAATTACAAAGAAATGGCAAGTAACAATTAATTACATGACATTTTTCCAATTTTGTTAACAACTTCGAAAAAACTTTTTTTTTTTACAGTGTAGCTGCCTTAAAAATATACCTGTATCTTTGAAGTAAACATATTTTTGATAGGCTAATATTAGTGTAATATGAAATAAAAAAATTTAAAAAATGTCAGTGCAACATCTAAACACCTAAACTCATTCTTTGTGCTTCTGTTATTTAAAAATAATTCCTTTTTTTTTTTTGGTAGTATTATTTCATACATATTTCAGTGTTTACAAAACTATAGGCTACATTAAAAAATATATTAATAATAAGTAT